GGGTTGACCATGATTGGACTGACCATGGTTGGGTTGACCATGGGTGGATTGACCACGGTTGGGTTGACTGTGGTTGGGTTGACCACGATTGGGTTGACCATGATTGTGTTGACCACAATGAATTGACCATGGTTGAATTGACCATGCTTGGACTGACCATGGTTGGGTTGACCATGGTTGGATTGACCACGGTTGGGTTGACTGTGGTTGGGTTGACCACGATTGGGTTGACCATGGTTGGATTGACCACGATTTGGTTGACCGTGATTGGGTTGGCCATGATTGGACTGACCATGATTGGATTGACCATGATTGGATTGACCATGGTTGGATTGACCATGATTGGATTGACCATGGTTGGACTGACCATGATTGGATTGACCATGGTTGGACTGACCATGCTTGGACTGACCATGATTGAATTGACCATGGTTGGATTGACCATGATTGGATTGACCACGGTTGGGTTGACCATGGTTGGGTTGACCATGGTTGGACTGACCATGATTGAATTGACCATGGTTGGATTGACCATGGTTGGATTGACCACAATGGGTTGACCACGATTTGGTTGACCACGATTGGGTTGACCATGATTGGACTGACCATGATTGGGTTGACCATGGTTAGATTGACCATGATGGGTTGACCATGCTTGGACTGACCATGGTTGAGTTGACCATGGTTGTGTTGATCACGATTGGGTTGACCATGCTTGGGTTGAACGTTCTTGGGTTGACCATGATGGGTTGACCATGCTTGGGTTGACCGTTCTTGGGTTGACCATGATGGGTTGACCATGGTGCCATCTGGGGTCTCCTTGGGGCCATGTCCCAGCACCCTGGTGGGTTTTGGTGGCCCAGAGGACATCCCCACCCCGATGTCCCCCAGGTACGCCAGCCTCTACTTCTGCTGCGCCATCGAGGGCCAGGACAACGAGCTGATCACGCTGGAGCTCATCCACCGCTACGTGGAGCTGCTGGACAAGTACTTCGGCAGCGTGAGTGGGGACACGGCCCAGGGGGACACCCTGGGGACATCCCAGGGCCACCAGAAACATCTCAGGGTCACCAGAAACATTTCAGGGTCATCAGGGACACCTTGGAGTCACCAGAAACATCTCAGGGTCACCACAGGGTCACCAGCAACACCTCAGGGTCATCAGGGACACCCTGGAGACATCCTGGGGTCACTACAGGGTCACCAGAAACATCTCAGGGTCATCAGGTACATCCTGGGGTCACCAGAAACATCTCAGGGACATCAGGGATGCCCTGGGGGCATCCTGGGGTCACCAGAAACATCTCAGGGCCACCCCAGGATCACCAGGAGCATCCCAAGGTCACCTGGGACACCCCATGGTCACCACAGGGTCACCAGGGCCACCAGAACCCACCTGGGTGTTCCCCCAGTGTCCACCAGGAGAACCCCAGGACCGCCAAGGGCACCCCAAAGTTCTCCAGGAAGACCCCAAGTGCCACCAAGGGTCCCTCAAGGCCATCAGGGCCACCCCAAAGTTCTCCAGAGAGACCCCAAAGGCCACCAGGAGTCCACCAGGACCACCCCAAAGTTCTCCATGAAGACCCCAGGGCCACCAGGGCCACCCCAAAGTTCTCCATGAGGACCCCAGGTGCCACCAGGAGCCACCCAACGTCCCCTATCCCCACCCCCACCCCGTAACCTGCCCCACCCCGAATTCGGGGGTGTCCCGAGGTGTCCCCAAATGCCCGGTGACCTCCTGGCCAGGTGTGTGAGTTGGACATCATCTTCAACTTCGAGAAGGCCTACTTCATCCTGGACGAGTTCGTGATGGGTGGTGAGATCCAGGACACCTCCAAGAAGAGCGTCCTCAAGGCCATCGAGCAGGCGGACCTGCTGCAGGAGGTGGGGACACCCCAAAAACCCAGGGGGAGGGGGTGGGGGACCCCAAAAATCCCATAGGGGCCATCCATGGTGACCCCAAAATCCATGGAGGTTCTTGGAGGGTCATGGTGACCCCAAAATCCCGTATGGACCATCCATGGTGGCTCCAAAATCCACGTGGAGCTTCTCCAGGAGATGGGGACACCCCAAAAATCCATGGGAGGGGCCTGGGGGACCCCAAAAATCCTCTATGGACCATCTGTGGTGACCCCAAAAATCCTCTATGGACCATCCATGGTGACCCCAAAAATCCATGGAGGTTCTTGGAGGGTCCTGGTGACCCCAAAATCCACGTGGAGCTTCTCCAGGAATTTGGGACACCCCAAAAATCCATGGGAGGGGGTTTTGGTAACCCCAAAAATCCCCTTATGGACCATCCATGGTGACCCCAAAAATCCTCTATGGACCATCCATGGTGACCCCAAAATCCACGTGGAGCTTCTCCAGGAGGTGGGGACACCCCAAAAATCCATGGAGAGGAGCATGGGAGACCCCAAAAATCCCGTAGGGACCATCCATGGTGACCCCAAAATCCATGGAAGTTCTTGGAGGGTCATGGTGACCCCAAAATCCATGGAAGTTCTTGGAGGGTCATGGTGACCCCAAAATCCCGTATGGACCATCCATGGTGACCCCAAAATCCATGAAAGTTCTTGGAGGGTCATGGTGACCCCAAAATCCCGTAT